CAGAACAAATGGAAAAATTGATAAAGAATTCCATTGCACCTAACCTTGCTTATTTGGTTAGAGGATAGATTAGTGACTAATCAAACCCTACTGCTGGAAATCTTGGTCAGTTTCCCCCAGCCTCTTAGCATACTACTACACAGCTGCCAACTAAGAAATAAAGAGAAAGGGCAGCAGCAGCTGGAACAGAATGGCTCATTTTGCTATCAAGATGAAAAGCAAATTATGAAGAACCTGAAAAGCTTTTCTATCAGAAAAGAGTAAATAAGAAAAGCAAGGAATAGCTTTTAAAAATTGAATCAAATACACTGATATTTGGCTGGCTTTTTCCAGGAGCATCAAAAGAAGAGTTACAATATTTTCCCTTTATATTACACTATTTTTCCTGAATAGTTTTTCTAAATATTTCCCCTTTATATTAGATTTGAAACTTTATTTAGTAAAGCTAAACCTATTCAAAGCGACTAGAAGTAGATGTAGACATTTGAAATGTTGTCACTTTTCCCTCTCTAGCTAGTTACTTAATACAATAAGAAAAATATTGGGTTAACTCATGAAGGGGGCTATTACAAGTTTTCTTTGTTCAGATAAATAGGGAGTGAACTGCACAGAAACTGAAACCAACTATAAAAGAAAATGGACTTCTGAACAAAGTGGGTTAACCAGTTTACAATAAATTTTACAGTAGAGGAGGCTCTAACAACAGCTCTTAGTACCAGCACTCTCACAAATATGCAGAAGTTGTCTTCATATTTAAAAGATGAGCTGCAAGGTTTTTGAACAAAGTTTTGAAAGATATTTTAAGATCCTAAATCAGTAACAAAAGACAAACGTATTAAAACAAGAAAGCATGAAAAGTCACGTCCTCATTCAGCTTAGCAGACAAGTTCCAAATTTAATAAAGTCCAGATTTCTATTCCAGCAGATGAAGGTACCATCCCCTCCAGAGATGGATCACCCAGGAAGGAACACATGCACACAGGGATGTTAAAAACATTTTCCCATAAATTTCTCTCCATCATTTTGTGCTTAGCCTCATGAGCGTATATATCCCTTACAAAAGAAACAAACCTCCCACTCAACACTTGACAGGGAGCTGAAGAAAGTGGATAGTAGTCTTCAAATAGCTGGCTTTTGTTTCAAAGGGGAAAGCATAATATTTGTGCATAAGAGCCCTATTAATGACTTGGGAATTTTGGGACTTTTTCATTAATGGGTCTTTGCTATTCATCTCTATTGGAAGATTCTTGCACTTCCAACTGCTGCCTAATCGCTACATTTCACTTTCCTGCCCTCTCCCCCAAGATGAAGAGAAACTGACCAACATTTCGCAGTGTACTGGTATGTCATGTGGGAAGGGGGAATAAGCAAAGGGACTTGTGGCAAGTCTAGAAATGGGAAAAGAGCAACAGGGAGTTTCCTAGCCCACATGGGCCCAGCTGCCTCAGTTGTCATGACAGAGAGTGGCCAGTTGGTCAAAGGTCTGACATCATCCAGTGGAAAGTTTCTAGGCACAGGTTTGGGAAGCGGAAGCAGAAATGATTGACAGGAAGATAATAAAACAAAACACAGCTACACTCGTTCTGTGTGTTACTCTTGGTTTCTTTCCAGTCTCGTAGACGTTAAGAGTCAATGCTTCTTAAAAGTTTCTTGTGGCTAAGTTGCAAGTCCCCAGCAGACAGGGAAGAATGGATGGGGAGGAATTAGGAGGCATAATTTTCAAGATCTATTTTTACATTCAGGACAGTAGGTACAACTTTAACTTCAGAAGCGAAGTGCAGTATTTTAGCTTTAACTTCAACTGTATCCTAGTTAGGAAGTTCTTACCTTAAAGATAGAAACACACACACACGCACATCAATAATTAACAAAATCTGCATGCCAGGAAGACACACAGCTTTGTAGGAACTGCATTTTAAGAGAGCAGTTTTATACAATAGAAATGACTTTATGAACCAGTCCTCTTAGATTTAATTTGAAAACAGGACTGCGCAGACATTGCTTAATTATTAACTAATAACTAGCTCTGCTTCCTTTCAGACAAGATCTAATTGGTGTCTGAGTCAAGGCTATAATAATGCTGTCTTTGCATGGCAAATGGCATTTTACATATATTTATGTGAAAATTAAATGGTTGCTGACTGTTTAAAGAACAATCATTGTAGCACATTGAGGCGAGCCAAGCTACTGATGACACACATTATACAATAAAAATGAGACTTCTTTACCTAACCTACCCCGTGCTACATGATCAGAAAGCATTTAGGAAAAAACTGTGAGGGAAGCAGAAAAATGACTCTATATACCTCCGTCTTTCTTCTCTGTTTCCTCGCGAATGAGAGGAGATGTAAGTATCACCTTCAGCGTCAGGGTGGGCTCCTTGGTGTTTTGGATCAGAATAGCTGCCTCATTGACACATTGCTCCACATGGTACTTCTCTGTGCTACATGATCAGAAAGCATTTAGGAAAAAACTGTGAGGGAAGCAGAAAAATGACTCTATATACCTCCGTCTTTCTTCTCTGTTTCCTCGCGAATGAGAGGAGATGTAAGTATCACCTTCAGCGTCAGGGTGGGCTCCTTGGTGTTTTGGATCAGAATAGCTGCCTCATTGACACATTGCTCCACATGGTACTTCTCTTCTGTAAGTTTCTGAAAGGCAGCAAGAAACATTTTCAAACATCCCCCATGGTAAAGGCAGCATCTCCTAAAGCAGGGATGGGCACAGTAGGCTAGCGAGTGGGCCGCAAGACTGTCGCAACCAAATAGGTCTCCTGAGTTAGGGAAGTTTTGCTCACTGCACTCGTGCTCCTAGAACTTGCAGGGGGAGCCGACTAAACCAGAGCAGCACTTTGGTGGATGCCAAGGGAGCGCCCAACTCTCACGGTCAGTGTGTGCAATCAGCATGCACCTCGCATCACGTGTCCTGGCTTTACAGTGAATTGCTTTAATAATACTAGCAAGAAAAAAATTATGCGGACAGGAACCAGCGGAATCTGGCAACTCTGCACGAGGGCGACAGGAAACAAAATGTCTTGTGGGCCACACACAGCCCACAGGTTACCCTCCACTGTCCTAGAGAAACATTTGCCCCTTGCAGATGCATGCATCTGACGAAGTGGGTCTTTGCCCACGAAAGCTTATGCTCCTACACTTCAGTTAGTCTATAAGGTGCCACAGGACTCCTCGTCGCTTTTGCAGATTCAGACTAACACGGCTACCCCTCTGATACTAATCATTTTTGTTACTGAAACCACATAGGGCCAGGACGACATGCTCAGAAGGGAGACTGAAGACCCCCATTTAGTTGTGCTGGGAGCAAAAGCAGGGAGAGATCAAATGCGCGAGTTACTCAATAGGAAGGTTAGCTATAGGGTACAACAAGATTGCGGTCAGGAACAAGGCTCAGGAATAGCAATAGAGATGTAGCCATGTTAGTCTGATCTTGCTGAAACAAAAAAGACAGGACTATGCAGCACTTTAAAGACTAACACGATGGTTTCTTAGGTGATGAGCTTTCGTGGACCAGACCCACTTCCTCAAATCAAATTCTGGAAGAGAATTGGCATGACCATATATACCAAAGGAATACAATGAAAAAAGTGAACACATTATAAAACTTACAAATCAGATTTAGAACAGAAGGGGGTGAGAGGGAAGGCTAGTATCTATGAGATATCTATACTAGGGGTGATAATTGGGGAAGCTATCTTTGTAATGGGTACGGTAATTAGCATCTTTGTTAAGGCCCATTTGTAAAGTGTCAAATTTAAGCATGAATGACAGTTCTGAGGTTTCTCTTCCTTTCTTAAGGAAGGTGGCTTTGTATTCACTTTTTTTTTTTTTTTTTTTTAACCCTAGATGCTGTCCTAGACTCAAAGTCTGGTCTTTTCTCTCTATATCTTTACCACTTGTACCTTTCTTGGTATCCAAATAATTTCAGCTGTTACCCTGAATTAACTTACCTGAATTTGGATTGGGAGATTGTCCTTGACTGTATATAACAAGGTCTTTGTAGGTTTTTCTTTGCACATGAGAACCAGCTCCAAATCCATGTCATCCTTTATCAGCAAGCCCTTTGCCACCAAACCAATTCTCATCACACCACATAAAGTCCGACCACCTTGATCCCTGGAAAGGAAGCACATCCGAATAGGACAATGGTATTTTGACAGATAAAAACCCCACCACCGTAATGTAGCAAAGGAACGGAGACTGACAGAAACAATTCCAGCATTTCTGTAGTGCATCAATGGCAGGATCATGAACAGCACAGACTGCTTTTCTACAAGTAGCCCACAGGATAATGACAGAAACTAATGTAAACATGCATGAAACGCTTCTGCAGCTGCAGAACTGTGAATCAGTGCTTCGGATTAGAGATGTAATAGCACAGTCGATTAACGGATTAATCAATAAGCAAAAGCTTATAGGTTAATGCAATAGACTACTGTACACACATTTCTCCCCCCTCCCACCCCATCCCCCCGCCCCTTGCCAGTACATTTTTTAGCAGGCTGGCCAGCAGCCCAGCTCAGTCCAGGCTCACACTGGGCCCAGGACCTACCCCTGCTGCAGCTCTGCATTTAAAGTGTATTAGGAGCCTAGCTCAGTTCCAGTTTGTGCTGGGTCTGGGAGCTCAGACCACCCCCGTAGACAGGGGCTGCTGCCACCCCACATTGCTGCGGACCAGCTCCTGCCTGGCACCTCGCGCTGCTGCCTCTGATACACTGGCTGGCGGCCCCGCCCTTGGGGATTATAGAATAGTTGACTAAACAATAAGAATTCATGAGGTTACTTGACTATTCAATTAACCAATATTTAACAGCCCTTGTTTGGATTAAATTATGAAGCTCCAAACACGGCCTCACTGCAGGAGAAAGGAAGTGCGCACAAACCCGGAGTCACGTTTTCAGAGCAGCTCTTAGAAGCTTAAGACCCATTTTCAAAAGTGACTAGTACATTTGAGAGCCTAAGCCCGACTGACTTTCAACAAGAGGCCCTCGAGCACACCCAACGCCTTCTCCCCCCCCCGTTATGTCAAAATAGCGTACAATCCATTTCTGTAGCTTTGGTGAATGCTGCAGATGTGAGGTACTTTAGGCAGCTCCCCATTTCAAGCTCTCTTTCCCGCAAGAGCCCTTCAAAACTTCTCACCACTGAAAGCTAGAAGAGTCAGAGGCTGGGGAATGAGACGGGAGTCTCCAGAGAAAACCAGGAGAGAACAGTTAAGAGTTATGTCAAAATAGCGTACAATCCATTTCTGTAGCTTTGGTGAATGCTGCAGATGTGAGGTACTTTAGGCAGCTCCCCATTTCAAGCTCTCTTTCCCGCAAGAGCCCTTCAAAACTTCTCACCACTGAAAGCTAGAAGAGTCAGAGGCTGGGGAATGAGACGGGAGTCTCCAGAGAAAACCAGGAGAGAACAGTTAAGAGCCGCAGTAAATGTCACAGGTTTCAAAGCGAGATAAACGACATTTCAGCTTTGAGTGCTGACAACAGACAAAACCGTAGCAAGCAATTGAGTAGCCCGAGAGGCGCCCAAAGCCGGCAGGAATCCTAGGGAAAGGGAAAAGGAGCACTCGCATCTACTGACAGGCACACACAGGCGCCCAGAGAGATGCCCCAGCATTTCATTGCGCTCCTCCCCCTCGGGGAAGGGCTGTAAGTGCTGGACTGGAGAGAACCGCCTCAGCTGGAGAGGCAGCTGTTGAGTTAGGGGCACTTGAACATCGCACACCGGGCTCTGATCAGACAATGCACCCTGACCCTCGAGCACACACATGCCTTCACTGGGCACAACTGTACATAGGTGAAAGGGGTGGGCCAGGACTGTCTCCTATTACCGAAGCAGAGCAGAGACACGGAGGGAGCTGGGAAGAAGGCAGGGAGTGGAAAATGGTCAAGGCCATGCCAGAGAGTCATTGCAGCGCCCCCGTGCTCAGACCATGCCAAAGCTGTAAATCCCTTTCACTCGGCAGGTCGAGCAAGTTAGCCAAATGCTGCGACATCTGGCCGCTAATTGGGCAGGGAAGTGTTACCCTTTGCCAACGGGTTTCTGAACGACCCACTATTTTACAGGATGGGATGGATTTACTCTGAAGCGTTTCTTTTGTCCTTCTCAACCTGCATGGGAATGTCCAACGTTTCCACAGATGCATTTCAAAGTTCACAGAAACATTTTTGTGACTGAAGCGTTGCAGGAGGCTGTTTCTACAAAGCCTACGCAGATCGGGCTGCAGTTGCTTAATACAAGATGACAGGACAAACACCTGCCTCTCTCTCCTGGAGTGGTCAGATTCATTTGGCAACATTTTGCCCAGCACGCTGAAGATGCAAACTGCACTGTAATTGTTTACAATGACTAATCAACAGGTTGCTGGTTTTTGTCTAAACTTTTCCCTGCTGCAATCTGTAGCATTTGGCCAAGAAGTCCCAAAACCAGCGTGAGGTCCGCTTCTTAAATCCTGGCGAACGGGTGGCTTTCAGAGCTACCCCTGGATTACTGTGCCGAGACTAGAGGAAAAGAGACCTGCTGCATCTGTCATTTCTTTACTGTAAAGGCACTCAGGCAGCCCAACTGTCCTGACAGGTCCACATTTCACCCACACAGAGCTAGCGCTGGCAGCCAGGAAAGCTAGTGACCGTGCCAGGCTGACTGGAGGCAGGTGGTGTGAAGGAGAAATGGCAGCAGTCTCCCCTAGAAGGGGAGATTCACTCAGCGAACAGCCTGGACTACTCTTTGCCCTAGTTTCCATCACAATTTTGTCCTGCTTTGCTGCTTGTGAGAACTCTGCCAATCACCACGTTCCCACCTCTGCAGGCACAGGGATGGATGCACGTTCTGCATCCCTTTACGGCCAGCAGGCTACAATCACGGATCTGTCCAAACGGCTGGCTTTGATACACATTTCTACAGAAAGTGCTCTTGACGTTTGGCTTTATAAGAACCAGCTGGGGGGAGGGGGAAGGAAGAGAAACAGCCCAAACCCCTCCAATGTCTCTGCTTTGACACTTGACACCTGCTATTCTCCAGCATCTGCAGACAGATTTATGAGAGAGAGAATTTGGGCACTTACAAAAATGCATTCTAAATTTAGACCTCAGCAAGATCATAAAACATCCTGCACACAAAATCATGAAATTGAAGTCAGGCTGTTTGATGGTGCCAACAGCATTTAATACAAGCCAAGGGTCTCACCAAAATCATTTAAATAGAAGTATCATTCAGCACTTCATTTATCCACGGCAGAAAGAAAAGTAAAGTGCTGCCAACAACACCACCCCCACACACAATGTGCACTGCATCCCACCTCAAGAATCAGAGAAGTCAAGAAAGTCCATCGCTCAGCAGAAAACTGACATTAATTATCTTCCACAAAAGATGACGAAGCTGAACTCTGGGGAAGCATCCTATCAATCTGCTGCTAGAATTCCCTGGAGTCCGCACAATCCCACTCTCATAAACCAATTTATCAGTTAAGTTATGTAGAAAGTCACAAAATTTAAATATTTTTGCTATTTCTATTCTCCACGCACAGTCGCACCAAAAAGTGACACCTTACGACTCAGGCTAAGTGCGAGAATGTTGACAAGATCAGAAACGAATCTGAGAAATATCTGTGTGTCAAAAAGGGGGGCTCAGAACACAGGCCATTGAGCTGTGGAGAGTTTGCTTTGCCCAAATCATTATGCGCTGACCTGGATACAGGCAAGTGCATCTCGGTTAGCTCCCTAGAGTCTGTTTATACGGTGCTCCTGTTAGCAGGGTGTCCTTTGGAAACTTCACGCTGAGTAAGCAGGTTTCTTCCCCGATATCCCAAACCCTTTAAGTGTCCATAGGATAGAGTCACAAGCAAATCCAGACAAAGGAAAAAACCTTTTGACTAGCAAAGTTGGCGCATGAGGGATTTTCTATCACTTCACCACATTTGTTGGGATCGTTAAGCAGATCATGGGAGCTCTCACAGATGGAGCTTTCCTCCACTAATATGGAACATTCCTTGTTTCTAAACTGGAGTGTGTCCAGCGAGCAGAGAAAACAGAGCTTTGTTTCCCAGTTCCCTCACACTTACACTGCCCCTTTTATTGAGACCAGGAAAGAACTAAAGACTACTGTTACCAGCATGATAGGGAGAAGTCAGATTTAGGGTTTGCCAAAGCACATTGGGGTTCATTCTGATAATTTTTTGAGAGATTGGTAATCACCGCTTCTTTCACGTTGAACCGGTAAATGCAATTTTCAGCCAAGGTAAATGAATACAGCAGCACCTGAAGGATACTCTCTTGGGGTATGTCTACACTGCCACCCTAGTTCAAAGTAGGGTGGCTAATGTAGGCATTCAAAGTTGCAAATGAAGCCCAGGATTTAAATATCCCGGGCTTCATTTGCATCTTCCCGGGCGCCGCCATTTTTAAATCCCCCTTAGTGCGGACTCCGTGCCCGCAGCTACACATGGCACGGAGTACATAGTTCGAATTAGGCTCTCTAACTCGAACTACCGGTACACCTCATGGCAGTTCGAATTAGAGAGCGAAAAGTACTAGAACATGGCCCTGTGCAAACTACCCAAACTACCCGTGACTCCAAAACTCAGAAGAGACCTTCCGCTACTTGATTTCAGATAATACAGCAGATGGACATGGATCACACAGACCTTTCCATGCGGATCTTAAAAACAGATCAGATCTCACTGTGTACAATTCACCCAGCAGCAACCTGCACAATAATCCACCACTTGTAGCAATGAAAATTAGAGGTAAGATCCAGGAACCGGCTCTAAAACTACGTGATGTAAATGATCCAGTCAGACTGTGTCCCAAGAAAGTCATCCTACTAGAGGAAATATGGTTTGATGAGAGCACAGGAATGAATGTCAGGTTCTCTGGGTCCTGCCACGGATTTACTGTGTGGCTTTGGATAAACCAGCATCTCTGCTACCCCTTCTCTAAACTGGCCATAATACTGACCTGGCTCACAGAGGGTGTGAGGTTCAGTTTTCTGTACCGCACTAGAGAGCCCAACATGCCCAAGTTAGAGATCTGTATTCACGGAAACCTGAAAAGGGGTACGTTGTTCCTGCTGTTTCCTAAACTGTGGGAGTTAAACTAGAAGCAGCAACATCTGGCGCCACGTCAGGGAATAGACAGAGATGTGCAATGCCAGATGTTTTATGCAGCATAGAATGACACGATGTACAGTAATGGCTCTTTTGGAGCAGCCAGCCTGTTGAATAAACAATACACATTTATAAATCCATTTTTGCCTATTAAACTGAAACGGCTCCAAAGCCGCATGTCTGTGGTTTTGGATTTCAGGGAGACATGTTTGCTTCTTTTGTGAACTGCGAGTTCTAAGACAAAATGTTTTAAAGTGAGAACTCCCCTAGCCCAGGAACCTCTCACACATTCCCTGCACTCACCCAATGGGCTTGCATCTCAGAAAGAGTCCAGACACGTCTACTTCCTGGTCTGCACAGCCATAACCAGCAAAGCCAAAGAACACTATGGGCCTTATTTAGCAGGAGAGGAATCCATTCACAGTAGCACAGTAGCTCATTATGAGGCTTAACTCACTCACTTGGCATTACTCTCTGCAGCTTCCTCTTTTGCTTCCCCATCTCCCTCGACTTTCACAGACTTGTTCATTTCATCCATCCAATCGGAGACATGTTTAAGGGCACATTCGACTGTAGACACCATGTTCTGGACAGCTTCAAGTTCCTCTGGAGACGGATAAATGGTTGAATGTTTCACCATAACATGGCGGTCATCGTTAGCAAAAGATCGGATAGATCTCTGTTACAAAGGTGGGAAAGAGCAGGGAAAAAAAGAAGAGTTATTGGCTTACCAAGAGAAGGGCATTAGTTGAAAGGGAATCGTCTCCATTATAGACAGGTAGTATTTTAGGATTACAAAGGCTTAGAATCATGGCGGAAGTTATACCTCCTCTCTGCTTGAAGTATTCTGCTGAGGGTCTCTACATGTGAAACAAGTCAAAATAGCATAAACAGGCAGCAAAATGCAAAAGCCTGCTGTGTCTGACTTGGCCATCATGAATGTCAGTGGCTGTGTTCTCTGTACCTGCTCCCAAACTAGTGGCAGAAACACTCAGGTTTTGAGCCAGAACATTGCAAAGAGGAGACACTTCTAGGAGAAACTTTACTCCACAAATGATACCTCCATAATTTGCCTTTGCACTCCCCATATTGTTTGTCTTCACCCAATATGCTGCGATAAACTCACGAGGACAGAGACTATGCAGTCTCTTATCTGCACGGGAAGGGCCCATGCACAGCAATCGCTAGCATAAAGACCAGTCAAGGACTGCACTTGCTAATCCAACATGCAATGGGGTGCTGGCCTTGCAAAAATTCCCAAGGAAGTTTCTCTTTCGCAAGAAACCACAGTTCCGATGAAGCGAAAGAAGTCAGGGAAGTCTACCAGGCAGGGAAATAAACAAGGCAGCAGGAAACCTAGGTTCCTGTCTCTGCAACAGACTGTCATGTAACCTTGGGGATATCACTTTCCCTCTGTGCCTGGTTTCTCCTCACTCTCTTAGTCTAAGTTTTTCTAGGCAAGGACTGTGTTCATGTTTGTGTCCACACAATGCCTAGCACAGACAGGCCCTAAGCTTGGTCGGTGCCCCTAGTCACCACCGAAATGCAACCAGTAAATAGTAACGATGAAGGAAACGGGCTCTTTGCTCTACCCCAGAATGCACCGTGAACGTAGCGAATTCCGTCCCTTCGTTCAGACCCCTGCGGCTGAGCAGCTCTAAAAAATCCACTGGTCTGGTGCCAAAGTGGAAACCTGAAGGCGCCGTGCACACCAAGGAAATGTCAGGAGGGTCTTTTGGGGGGCTGGTAAGGTTGGAAGTGAGGTACCCTGAGGAAGAGGCTAAGGAAAGCTGCACTTCATACAGGACCTTGGCACTCTCAGATCAGTTCTGCCTGGCTAGATATGCCAAGAGCAGCAACACTCCCCTCATTCTAGGTTGAGTGCAAAGGCAACCCACCGGGCCATCCAGCAGCCTCTCACTCTACAAGCTGCCAAGACTGAGGCATTTCCCCTGGGCCGGAGCAGGACACATCACCAGGACTAGCCTCACTGACTGGAGGGAAATCAAAGAGCACGAAAAATGGCTG